GGGGGCGGGCGAGGCGCCCGCGCTGAGTGTCCCGCCCCGCTGTCCAGTGCTGGCCGATGCCAACTTCCCGGCGGCCTCCGTGTGCCGGTGCGGCCCCGAGGAGATCCGCGCCAGTGGTGAGTGGCCGCGGGGAGGCCCAGCCCGGTGAACCCTGGGCCTTCTGCTGCAACTTAGAGCCCACTGGGCGCCCCCCACGCCCCACGGTGGTGCCCGGCGCCAGAACTGGGGGAGGGGGGCTGTTCTGAGGTTCGGGGACCTGCAGGGAGGGCCCCCGTGTGCAGACCCAGGCAGTGCCTGCACCCCACGATGTGTGAGGAGCCAGGACCCTGCAGTTAGACCCCTGCAGCACGGAGCATGGGGTGGCCGGCCCCTCTGGACGGAGCTGGCTGGACCCCGCTCCCTGGGGTGGGCTCGCTCCTGCACGGGCCCTGCGCCCCTTCCCCACTGCGGCCACAGGCCGGCCTGCCGGACACCCCAAGGCGCAGCACAGCTCCCGAGGTGGCGCCCGGCAGTGGGGCGCCTCACCCTCAGAACCCACTTCACTGGGCTTTCCAGCGCCCCGAGGACCAGGCCGCGGTCAGGGGATCCGGCGCCCGGCAGGCTGCGGGCGTCCCCTGCCACCGGGCACTTCCGGCCAGCACCTCGCTGGGCCTGCGGGGCTGCCAGGGCACACAGAGTCCACCTCAGCGCTGCCCCGCGCAGGCCACATGCGAGCGGCCCCAGTGGCCCAGGCCCAGTCCACCCGTTTGGCCAGGCCCAGTGTGCTGGGGTGGGGGTGGGGGGTCTGGGGGCGGCGGCGGGCGGGGCTGAGCCGCCTCCCCGCAGGCCTGGGCATCCCCCAGCTCCTGGAGGCTGTGCTGCAGCTGCTGCCGCTGGATACCTACGTGGAGAGCCCGGTAGGCCCGCGACTCCCCCCCGCCCCTCTCTGGGCCTGGGCCCCGCCTGCTGGGGGGGCCGTGTCCCAGCGCCCCCGACCCCAGCGGAGTGCTGACCCCGCGCAGGCCACGGTCATGGAGCTGGAGCCCAGGGACGTGGAGAGGGGCCTGCAGACCCCGCTGTGGGGGAGCTACCAGTCCATCCTCCGCAGGGCCGGCTGTGAGGTGAGTCGGGGCCCACGGGCGGGCGAAGGGCCGCAGCTGGGCCCCGGCCCCCCGGAGGCCGGACACGACGCGTGGGGCCCACCGGTGGCCTGCCGGGCCACATCGGCTCCACGGGGACCACAGAAGTGCACCCGCGGGGCCTCGCCGCGGGCAGTGGCTGGGCCCGCCGGCCCCCGCGCCCCGGGCGGGGCTCACTGGCCACCCTGCCTTCCAGAGCCCGCTGGGCAGGATGGACAGGTTCGCATTTTACCAACGGGCCAGGAAGGCGTTTGCTGTGGTGGCGACCGGGTGAGTCCTGCGGCCGCGCTGCGGGCCCGGGTTCCGGCAGCAGCGGGCCGGGCTCACCTGCGCCTCCGCCCTCTGTGCAGGGAGACGGCCCTCTACGGGAACCTCATCCTCAAGAAGGGGGTGCTGCCCCCCGACTCCTTGTGCCAGGCCTGACGAAGACCCCGGGCGGTCGCTGCAGAGGGCCGGCCCCGCTGGCGGGGCGGGAGGCCCCGCTCCTGAATACAAAGGCGAAGCTCCGAGCTCTCTGCCACGTCAGTTTGGCCTGTCCACGCGCTGTCGGCAACACCGGGCGGGCGCCCCGAGGTCCCTGCTTGGAGCCGAGCTCCACAGGCCCAGACCCCGGCCGGCGGGTGGGGCCTGACGGCCGCCGGGCGTCCTCAGAGGCGTGGGGCGTTGGCCCCAGCCCCGAGGTCGAGAGCAGCTGGCCCCTGCTCGGACACCCTGGGAGGTGGCCAGAGCTAGGGTCCTGGAGGGGGCAGGGGGCAAGGGGCAGCTTGGTCCCTCTGGCAGCGCCGGGCAACAGCCCCAGGGGCCAGGCCATTCTCACGCAGGGGCCGAGTCGCTGGAGCCACCTTGGGGAGGGCTGAGGCGGAGCGGGACAGCCACAGGGCAGCCCCAGCCAGGCGCAGACCGGGGCTGGCCAGGCCCAGGTCCTGTGCCCCGAGCAGCGTCTGGGCTCAGCTCTGCGGCTGCAGCCCGGGGTCCTGCCGGGCTGCTGCACCAGGCACCGGCCGTGGCCCCTGCCCACCGCGGCCGCTGCCCAGCAGGCTGGCCCAGGACTCATGGCACAGGCGGACGTGGCCCTTGTTGACCTGGGCAAGTGGTGGAAACGTGCTGGGGTGCAGGGAAAGAGCCTCCCCGGGCCCCCGTACTTGCGGGAGCAGCCAGTCAGCGCTCCCTGCCCCCTGCCCCAGAGCCTGGGCATGCCCAGCCCTGCCTGGCCCCAGCATGCGCCTGCTTCCTGTGCTGTGACTCAGCGCCAGCCAGGTGGTGGCCACCTTGGGCAGCACCTGGCTGCCCGCCCTCCTGCCCCAGCCGGCGTGTCCCGAGCTCCTGCCCCACGCGGCTGTGTCCCTGCCAGGGGGCAGGCAGGTGCCCTGGCGGTCTGCGCCTGGGGATCCCGTGGACGGTCCCGCCCAGCCCCCACTGAAGACACCGGTGTGCGTGGCAGGGTTTATTGGGCCCCCTGGGAGGGCAGGGCGCCCCCGGCCGCGTGGTGGATGTGGTCCCGGTCGGGCTCTGGCCCCCGGAGCACCTGCCGCACCAGCAGCGCCCGAGGCGGGGGCTGCTCCTGCTCCAGGGCCCCCTGGAACGAGGGGTGGTACTGGTGGTCGCGGTCGGGCTCGGGGCCCGGCATGGGGCTCCGGAGGTGACCCAGCACGTCCTCAGCCGCCTGCAGGGCGCCGGCACCTGGGGACAGGGCAGAGGGGTGTGGCCTCAGTGCCTGCCCTGTGCGGGAGGGGGCTGGGGGGTAGGGGGGCACCGACCTTCCTGCCCTTCCTGGTGGGCGGCCAGGAGCTTCAGCCCCGGAAGCAGCTGCAGGAGCGGGCTGCCATCCTCGGGGGGCAGCAGGCCGCCGCCAGCCCGGACGTGGCCCTGCGGAGCCAGGCGGGGTCAGCTGCGGGCTGGGGACGCCGCGGAGCACCCCCCGGGAGGACCCCCAGGGTGGGGTGGGCGCGCCAGGAGGAGCCATCTACCTGGGGTGCAGCTGCGGATGCGTCCAGCAGCAGCGCCACCGCCAAGCCGGTCAGCAGGAGAAGCCTGGGGGGCGCGCGGGTGAGGGCACCGGGCTGACCAGGGCGCCCCCACCGCCCGCCCCCCAGGGGCGCCCGTCTGGTGGAGGGGGGCGAGGGTGCAGGGCTCCGCCGCCGCGGTGGCCGGCACGCTGAAGCGCCCGCGGAGGCGCGGGGCGGCACAGGGCACGCGCGGCGAGTGCGCGGCCAGTGCGCGGCGGGGTGGGCCTGCTGCGGCCACGCCCCCACTCCCGATCCTGCACACCCGCGGGCTCCGCCTGCCGCCACTGCGTCTGCAGAGGCTCCGAGGCCGGGTTAGGTGGGGCGTCCCCAGGGGTCAGCAGGGGCCTGGGGCGCCCCAACGCCGCCCCACGGAGACCTTTGCTCCCCTCTGTTGACGCGGCAAGGGAGCAGGTCTCCCCTGCACACTGGGAGTCAAAGGGCGCAGGCGGGGCTGGATCTCGGGTGCTGGCCAGGGCGCGCCCAGCCGGCCACCTCTCTTGGGCATCAGATCCCAAGCTAAGGTCGGTTCTGGGTTGACGGGTGGCCACGCCCCCAGGGAGGCCCAGCACCCCCATCCGTGGGCCCCCTGCAGCCCTCTCCAGATTGGGCATCCAGAGGTGCCAAGGAGAAGCCACCCCCTACGGGAAAGGGGTGGGGGCAGGGGCGCTGTCCCAGGCCCAGTGGGAGCCCGTGTTTCTCTGGGCCTCACTGGCCGCCTTCCAGGACAAGCCCCCCACCCTTGGGCTGCCTGTTCCTCCGTGCCCGCATCTGGGCAGTCAGACCTGCCCCCGGGGGGCGCCAACCCCGTTTTGGAGGCTCCCAGGCACAGGTGGGCTCTCACGGAGGCCCTGGGGCCTGGCTGAGCCCAGAGCAGGCGCGGTCGGGAGGAAGGTCGCGGGCGCTGGCACCCCTGGCCCAGCCTGGGCCTCCCTGCCCCCCCCAAGTCTCCCCAGCCGGACTCCCCGGGGTGGGCGTAGGCGGGGTCCAGCAAGGGACCCAGTCTGGGAGGTGAATCGGGCTGGGGGCGTCGGCCCTACCTCCCCATGTCGGGGTCCAGGTCCGTGCAGCAGGGCAGCAGGGAGGCGGGGGCCCGCAGCCGTGCACCGCGCAGCGCCAGCAGACGCTCGTGCCGGGGCGCCGGGCTTTATGGCTCCCTGGGCGTGTCGGACAGGTGGGGCAGGGCCGCCCCACCCCGCCTGGCCCACTGTGCCCGGGGCGCCCTCCCCTTGTGCTGCCGCAGTGTCCCACAGGCTTCGCTCTGTGCCGGCCATGGACCCCGAATTCATGGCGAGCCTGCCGGGGCGCCACACGTGCTTGGGCGGGCCCTGGAGGCCCCGCACCCCATGTCCACGCCCGGGATTTGACCCTCGGGCCGTCAGCCCAGGGCCTCTGCTGGTCTGCTGCTCAGGGGTGCGGGGTGCAGCGCAGAGCTCAGGGGGCCAGATGGTGGGCGCAGGCTCTGGGCCTCGGTGCTCGGCTCCCTGGGGGCGGCCAGCGCCCCTCCTTGGGTGTCGGACCTCACGGCCTACAGGAGGCCACTTTGTCCCAGACCCCCAGGGGGGCTGTCGCCCTGGGCAGCACCGCGGGCCAGGGGCAGGTGCGCCCAGTCACAGGATGGACCAATCAGGCGCGAGCTGTGAGCTGATTGGTGTCCTGAATGCTCCAATCAGGCGTGTGGGCGGGGCCCC